AAAGGTGTGTGTCAGGGCAGTATCCTCTCACCATACATATTCCATCTATATACTGAGCAAATAATCAGATAAACTGGCTTATATGAATATGAATGTGGCATCAGGATCAGAGGAAAGCTTATTAAACGTTGGAAATATGAAGATGACATAACCTTGCTGGCTGAAAGTGAGGAGGACTTGAAGCACTTACTAATGAAGACCGAGGATTGCAGCCTTCAGTGTGGATTATAACTCCATGTCCAGAAGACTGAAATCTTCACCATTGGACCAATAGTTAACATCATACTAAATGGAGAAAACTTTGATGCTGACAAGGCTTTGCCTTGTTTTGATACACAATCAATGCTCAAGGAAGCAGCAGCCAATAAATCAAAAAATTCATTGCATCAGATAAATTAGCTGCACAGACATCTCTATTGAAAGGCAAGGATGCTACTTTTAGGACTAAAGTACGCCTAATTCAAGCCCTGGTAATTTCAATCACCTATTTGTATGTGAAAGTTGGATATTGGATACGGAAGACCAAAGAAGAATTGATGCATTAGAAGTATGGTGCTGCTGAAAAATATTGAAATACCATGGATTGCTAAAATGGCAAACTGATCTGTCTTAGAAGAATTATGGCCAGAGTTATCCTTAGAGGCAGGGATGGCAAGATTTCATCTTACATATTTCAGACATATTGTCAGGAGAGACCAGTCCATGGAGAAGTACATTATGCCTGGTAAAGTGGAAGGGCAGAGAAAACTATGAAGACCCTGAACAAGATTGACATCATGGCGCAGACATAGGAACAATGTCAAGGATTCACAGGACTGGGTTCTGTTTTGTTCTTTTGTACATAGGGTTTGTATGTGTCCAAGCTGACTCAATGGCACTTAACAACAACATACTAACTTCACGTACATGGTGCATGTTTCTGAAAACCAAACTCACTGCTATCAAGTCTACTGTGACTAATGGCGACCCTACAGGACAGGGTAGAACAGCCCTGTCGGTTTTGACTAAGTAACTCTTTGTGGAATTAGAAAGCGGTGTTCTCACATGGAGAGGCTGGTGGTTTCAATGTACTGATCTTGTGGTTAGCAGCCCAACACATAACCACTACACCACCGGGATACTTTAATGCATGTTGAATAGTAAATAAATGGAAAAAATTACCCACACACTTGGCTTGGGTACTGATAGTTCAGTTGCAGCCACTGTGCCAATCCCTTTCTGCTGACGCTCTACTTCACTCAGTATAATTACCTTTTCCAAAGACTGGTCTCACCTAATAACATGTCCAAAATGGATGAGATGAAATGTCACCATCCTAGTTTCTAAGGGCAATTCCAGCTGTTATTCTTCCAGACAGGTTCATTTCTTTTTCTGGCAATCCATGACACTTTCAGTAATCTTCACCAACACCATAATTCATAAGCATCGGTTCCTGTGCAGTCTTCCTTAGTCATTGTCCAACCTCCATATGCATATGAAGAGACTGAAAACTCAGGGGCACTTTAGTCTTCAAAGTGACATTCTTCATACTCAACACTTTATAGAGATAATGTGCAGTATATTTGTCCAATGTGGTGCATTTATTGATAGCTGTATGGACAGAGTAGAATAAATTTATATGATTTTGAATCCCATCTATGTATATTTCAATTATGCTAGCCATGCTGGGAGAGGTTTATTGATAGAAAGCAGTGCTATGGCAAGCACTTAAATTGTTTCCCTGTCCAAACATCTGACATCCTTCTTTTAGATATTTTAAAAATAATATCAGTTCATAAAATACAAATTAAGCAGTTAATCATTACTCAATAAATTAGGTACTACATGAAAATAAAAATTTCATCTTCCTAACTTTTCTTCATAAAATTGGTCTATGATGTACCCAAAATAATTTTTTCAGTGTCTTCTATAAAGTTTTGAATGTGAACCATGAGGCAAGTAAATGATGAAAAAGACTTGCAATAGCAATACCAAGCCAAGCCTGAGTATAACTTTGCAGTCTGCTGAAAACATACCATCTATGTTTAGACAGTGTAGAGTAAGAATATCTTTCTTTCGGAAATGTCACAAACACATATCGATAAATAAACTCCTTCTGAGTGCTCCTGTCACAGTGTCAAAGTGATAGATGACTTGAACCAATAAAGCGTCGTCAGTAGATCATACATATGACGCGGGCTGGACCTGATCTGGTTTCAAATTTTTCTGTATTTTTGGTCTGTAGTATTTTGCTTGTTCATATTAGGGTGTATCTCAGAGGGTGTATCTTTGAGGTCTCTTATAATTGGAGGTCATACTTTTGAAGCTGTGTGAGTTTTTTTTTTTCCAATTTTCAATACATGAAACCCAGGATAGATGAAAATACAGAGACAGCAAGTAGAATAAGGTTTTCAAGGGAAGGGGGGAGTACAGCGATGGAGCGGGGTGAAGGGAAGAGCATGTCAAGGAGCCCATGCAGAAAATGAATGTTTGGAAACTGATTGTGGTATCAATTGTGCAATTCTGTTTGATGTGCTTGAACTATGGAATGATAAGATGTATATATTGAGTAAAAATATGTGTATCAAAAACAAAAACGGAACATCAAACTTACTGGCATGGAATAATGCTAATTCATAGGGACCCTATAGGACAGGGCAGAACTGCTCCCTGTGAGGTTTTGCGAGTGTAAGCGTTTGTGGGAGTAGAAATCTCGTGCTTTTCCTGCAGAGCTGCTCATGGTTACAAACAGCTGACCTTACGGTTAGCATCCCCAAAGGTACCCATTCCGCCATCGGGATCCTCGTCAAAGTGATAATGATGGGTAATTCTCTATAACTGATAAAAGTCACCAAAATAAAAATGAAAGTGAGCCCGCAAATATTAAACAGGATGATAAAACAGTCATTGCTAGTCCCTTAAGAGATTTGCAGGAAAGGAAACACCGAGAACATTAGCTTTCTTGAACAGCTTAGCTAGGGCAGGCAGCCACCCCCCACCCCCATCTTACACTAGCTCATTGTGGTGGTATTGTTTTTTTCATATTTTTTATTACAGTGCATATATAATTAATTATATTTTAACCTTTATTGACATAATAAACATTCAAAACATGTGAAATTATTAATTAATTTATTTTCTAAACTGAGCACTGGTGTGAAATCTGCTTCCATAACAAGAAACTGAAAGCGATTAGCACCCCAGAAACCCTTCAGGAGCCTTCTAAACCACAAACCACCTTGAATTTTGAATGATGCAATGTAATTTTTTAATTTGCATCTTATAACAATATTCTCTTTTGCCATCTACTTCTTTAGTTTAGCATTATGCATCTACGATTATAGTGTTTCAACTAGTATTAGAATATCTATTCTAATGTGTCATCATTCATTTATTCACTTCACTATCACTGGGTTTCTGAGATATACGTGTGTGTATATATATATATACATATATCTGGCTTTTGGTGAACACTACATATACATTTCCATTGGGAATTATCCAAGAGTGCGGCTGTCAACACACAGGGTATAAATATGTTCAGTTCTGGTGCACACAAAAAATCATTGATATCCCATTTTTCCTCTCTGGCTTACTTTTATCCCTTCCTCGCTCCCTCCACTAGAATGCAAATATCACGAGACCAATTTGTCTCTCTTTCTCACAGCTATACCTAATGAATAATGAATGAATGAGGAAGATGTATCTGTAGCACACAGAACTCTGTAATCACTTCCTTTGCAATCCTGATATCCTGTGCATTACATCAAAGGTATAACTCTACAAAAGTCCCTCAGTCCTAATGTTCTTATCTATAAATTGGGAGTGATAGCTGCTCTGTTTGTTATGAGATTATTAGAGGATGAACACATAAGTTGTTAGGTCTTCGGTAGAGATAGACAGGTATGATTATGATCATTATTATGTTTCTACAACACAAATTCAAAATAGCTCATTGATAATTTAGTAACGTTACCATTTCAATTCATGAGTAAATTATTTAATCACAACACTCACAGAACATGCCATGTATTTTTCTGTTCTACATCCGGGTCAGTAACACACTACAATCGAGTCGGTGCTGACTCACAGCTTCCCACTGTGGGTTTCAAGACTCTGTTTACGGGGTACAAAGCCCAGTCTTCCTCCTGCGGAGCCGCTGGTGTCTCAAGCTGCCCATCATGAGAATTGCAGCCGCACGCATCACCACTACACCACCACGCGTCCCCATCTGAGTCATTGGAAGTATATCTAGGTTTATGGGAAGTATATATATGAACCATGATCAAACTGCTATTACTTGGCTGATTTATGTTTAACTCTGTGGCAATATTGAAAATGATTTTATTTCCCAACCAATTATCTCAGTGTCTCCAAACTCATGGAAACATCTTTCAGGACAACAAAGTTCTCATGATTTCAACTTATTTAAAAAGTAATTGACTAATGTATTGGAAGCTAAGGTTAAATACTGTATTTGTACCCAACGTGAAAAGCACCTAATGATTATAGGGATTTTCTGAGAAAACTATTTGTGACCCTTACTCCCTTCTGAGAAATAGAAACACCTAGGTAGGGGCACAAAGTCTCTTTATAAAAGGCTTGGCCAGGGTATTGATCAAAACAATAGAGAGCTTGATAATCCTCTTACGCTTATGTGGTGGGCTGTATTGATACAACAATGTACCAAAGCATCCATAAATTCCCTCGTTTATTCCTGTTATAGATTCCACCATTTAAAAGAGCATGCAGATTATTTTGCCTCAAAAGAAAATTCCAAAGAAATTTTTTTTAATTTATGTTTCTGGAAACATACAAGGCATTATGTTTAGTTCAAGGGAAAAGACAGAAGAAAGGCGAATCTGCGAGAAGAAAGGATACAAGCAGGAAGGCCAAGAAGACGCCTTTTGGTAGAGTTTGGCTGCGCAGTCGAACCCTGCTTTCCAGTTTACCCTTTCAACGAGAGCATACCCATACTGGCCCTATGCTATTTCACTCACAATTATCACAGGGAATGGCTTTCAGAAGGCAGCCCCTGATACTCTCTCTGAAGACTTGAACTTCCCCAGGGTTCTCCTCAGAGCCCCAGTCACATCTTTGTTTCTCAAACTGTAGATGAGAGGGTTCAGCATGGGTGTCAGGATAGTGTAGAAAACAGAGAGGACTTTGTCCTGAGTTGGTGTGTGGTAGGAGTGAGGTAGCATGTACGTGTACATGGCTGCCCCATAGAACAAGGTCACCACGGTCATGTGAGAGGAGCAAGTGGCAAATGCTTTTTTCCTCCCCTCCGCTGAGCTCATGCGGTGGACCGTGGTCAGGATGCGAGCGTAAGAGGCAATCACCACGGAGAAAGGGATCAGCAGCATGAGAACACAGCACACATACATCACTGTCTCATACAGGGCCGTGTCGGCGCATGCCAGCTTCAGCACCGCCGGAGCCTCGCAGAAGAAATGGTTAATCTCCCGGGAGTTGCAGAAGGGAAAGCTCATGGTGATGGGGGTTAACAGAAAGCCATCCAAAGAGCCCCCAAACCAAGATCCTGCTATGATCATCCAACAGACCCTGCGGTTCATGAGGACAGGGTACCTCAGAGGGTTACAGATGGCCACATAGCGGTCATAGGCCATGAGGCCCAGAAGGAAGAATTCTGCTCCCACCAGTGTGAGATAGAGGAAGTGTTGAGCTGTGCACCCCACAAAGGAGATGGTCTTTTGGCCCAGCATATAATCGATCAGCATCTTAGGCACAATGGTGGAGATGTACATCATGTCAATGAAGGAGAGGTGGCTGAGCAGGAAGTACATAGGAGTGTGCAGGCGTGTGTCAGTGCGGATCAGAAAGATCATGATCCCATTAGCCGTCAGTGCGGTGAAGAAGATGACAGTGATGATGGAGAAAAGAAGTCCTGAAGTATCTTTTCT